GTGGGCTCTGGGACTCTGAACTTTGGTCTTCTTGCTGGCACAGCTGCACTTGAACCGCTGAGCCATCTCCCCAGCCATAACATAATTTTACTTTTAGCATCAGAGAAAGTGTTTTTGTTTTGTTTTTCTTTTTAGTTAACTAGATAAATTATTTCTGAGATTAAGAAATTACACATTATACTTCAGGGAGGATGCATGTGTCTGTTCTAACCATGACACACACCTTCCCAACCCCTCCGCCTACACACAGCTGAGTGTCAGAGGACCTCTCCCCAACAACTCTGGCTTTTTCTTGTTTCTCCTCTCCCTACTCCCCGACCCCCCATTATTTTTCCCTTCCCTGGTCTCTAGCAAGTAGATTCAAGGCTGCTAAGCTCCCCAGCTATCGGCAACCTCCCGGGCTATCAGGTCTCACACAGTCCAGCCCCCTCCTGCCACCATTCCCACCTACAGCCCCACCTCTCTGACTCATCATACATCTCTTTCTATACCTCAGGGCCTTTGCACAGGTTGGCTGTGCCCTGAGCCCCTCCCACTCCACCAACCTCCCCCCAGAGAAGGACACATTCACCTGTTTTTCCACACTAGCACATTATATAGCATCCATGAATTTTCCTTCAAGATAGAATGTCATGAAATATTCGCTATAAAAATGAGGTAATGGGTCGACAGAGTGAAGAGCTGTTGTACTGGGATTTGCTAGCTGGTGTTTCTAACATTAAATTAGAAATTCTGGGAGACAGAGGGCCAACACTGGGTGAAAATATTTATTTGCTGACTTGAAATGAATGAACTCCTGAGCAATCTGGTGACACCTTACTGTTGTGAACACCCCAAGGTGCTGCTGTGCAAAGCCTGGGCTTCCTTGGCTAGCAGAGGCAAGGCAAGACTCCCACCCCACCCCACCCCTCCAGCCAGCCTGGTGGATGGGCACTAAGTTACTAAAATCCAACAAGGAAGACTCAAGGTACAAAGTGCTTGTCTAGCCTGGGCTAGGTCCAGGGTTTGATCCCCAGTTCCTGGATGAGAGTATGCGTGTGAACAAGTGAGTATCAGAAATTTGAGGACCACACAAATGTGGGTCAGTGTCACTGTTGGGCCCGGGGGAGGAGGGGGGATGTGACTCAGAACCTAGAACTCACCATCAACCCAAGGACCCCAATCCTACTGGGATCCAATCTGATTGTAGGAACCTTCTTGGCATTTCAGTTCGAGATGAGCAAGTCTTTTCTATTACCTATTCAAGTAGGCCGGTGACATGGTGGCATCTGGTGCTGTCCCCCGCCGCCGCCCACGCAGGCCCCAGGCTGAAGGCAGGAAGCCCTGCGCTGCAGACCCCGCCCTTTCCTTTGATCCTCCCACTGAAAGCCGAGCTGCCTGCGAAGAGGCAGCAAAGCTGCTCACATATAATTATTTTAATTCAGCCAGATGCTGGGAATTAATCTCTTTTCCTTGCAAGGATTCTAGGGAAAGACAGAACTCAGCCAAAGATGTGCCAGAAGAAAAGGAGCTGATAGCTCAGGGGGGAGGGAGGGAGCCCCCTGAACGCCCTGCGCAGGCACAGCTACAAGCCAGGAAGCTGCTGTGTCCATGGATGGAGGAGATGGAGATAGAAAAGGGGGGGCGGGAGGGAGAGGGAGAGAGAAAGGAGGGGAAGGAGGAGAGGGAGGATGAGGAAGGGGGTCCAAGGTGGCAAAGGAAGATGTTTACCAACTGCTGGGATACCAACTAACAGTACAAGCCCTGCCCAAGCTTAGACTCTCCAAAGTGCGTTTGCTGATGTTTAATGACACTGGGAGGACCTTACCACTATTCCCATCCAACCCCTCTTGACCACCTTTATCCTCACATCAATTAACCCCAACACCCCATAGCAGTGGAACCCAGAGGCTCTGGACTCAGAAAACAGAAACCCTGGTCTGCCTACACGCCCTCTTAGTGCTCACCCTGAGCAATCAGGTCTTCAGGGAACACGGATTAAGAGTCATTACTAAGCACTGGGGCCAGGCTTCCCTGTGTTCCTGACAGATTCTCAACAAACACACACTGCACAGCCAGCCCTGGCTGGGATGCACACACTGGGTAAGCCTGACTCTGCTTCCTCCTGCCCCCCATGACTCCACCCAGCCAGCTAAACATCCGGTGAGAGTGACCACCAGGAAAGCGACTGTGTCAGACTTTTTCTGGTCACCTCTCTACTGGCTCAGAACCCTCAGCTCTGTTTTCATGGGTCTTGTTCTCCACTACACATAAAAAATAAAAATAAAGGGCTGGAGAGATGGCTCAGCGGTTAAGAACACTGACTGTTCTTGCAGAAGACCCGGGTTCATATCCCAGCACCCACATGGCAGCTAACAACTGTCCATAACTCCAGTTCCAGGGGACCCAACAGCCTCTTCTGTCTTCCTTGGGCATTGCACAACACAGGTGCACTTACCTAAATGCAGGCAATACATGCATACACATAAAATAAAAATAATAAGACATTTTTTAAAAATAAAAATAGGGCCGGGCATGGTGGCATACGCCTTTAATCCCAGCACTCGGGAGGCAGAGGCAGGTGGATCTCTGCGAGTTCAAGGCCAGCCTGGTCTACATAGTGAATTCCAGGACAGCTGGGGCTACAGGGAGACCCTGTCTCAAAAAAACCAAAAAATAAAAATATAAAATTAAAAAAATAAATAAATTAAAAGACTGAGGCTCTAGAGTCTCAGGCTGCCTGGGTCCAAATCTCTTCTAGTTAGTGACGGGGTGACCATAGGCTTCATCTCTCTGTACTTCGGTTTCCTCATGGAAATTGAGGACCACAATGATCAGATATTAGAATACACCATACTACATAGCATATATGATCGATAACACACCAGATAAAGACACCAGTACCTAAGAGCCGTTTGTGTGGTATGCAGCCTCATCATTGCTCAGGCCAGTTAAATAAGACTACTGCACTACGAAGATGTAACCATCCGGCCCTTTATTTGTTTTCATGGTGCTGGGTGTGCTGAGCAAACACCCCACAACTGAGCCTCTTCTGGCATCTTCTAGGAACCCAGACGTTAAAGAGATTTACAAGGTCATTCCTCTCAACAAAAAAATGCCTGTTTTGGAAAATAGGTTATTTAATAGTAACTTTAAAAAAAAAAGAAAACAAAGAAACAAGGACTGGTGTAGACTTAGCTGGCCTTGAATTCACTATGAGGCTGAGGATGAACTTGAACGTCTGATCCTCTGTTTTTGCCCCCTGAGTTGCTGGGGTTACAGGTGTGCACCACCATGCCTGGTTTACTTGGTGCCGGGGATAGAACCCAGGGCTTCAGGGATGCTAGGCAAGCACTCTGCCAAATGGACTATATCCCAAGATCCTACTTAACATAACTCTTAATGTGTTCCACTGTATTTATGTATTATGTATGTATGTATGTATGTATGTATGTATGTATGTATGTATGTATATATGTATGTATTTTTGGTATTTTTGGAGACAGGGTCTCCCTGTAGCTCCAGCTGGCCTGGAACTCACTATGTAGACCAGGCTGGCTTTGAACTCACAGAAATCTGCCTGCCTCTGCCTCCCAAGTGCTGGGATTAAAGGCATGGGACACCATGCCCGGCTATTTTTTTAAATTTATGTTTATTTTATGTGTATAAATGTTTTGCCTGCATGTATGTAAGTGTACCCATGCCATGCAATGCCTGAGGAGGCCAGAAGAGGGCATTAGATCCCCTAGAACTGCAGTTACAGATGCTTGTTAGTTACAATGTGGGAACTGGGAACCGAACCCGGGTCCTCTGTAAGAGCAGTCAGTGCTCTTAACTGCTGAGCCATCTCTCCAGCCCAGCACTGTCATTCTTAAGGTTGTTTATGTATAATTTTAAATTGTTTAATCATAGACTCTAACATGGTGGATATTGATGAAAGGCCACATTGACTGGGAAGATCAGAAGGTCTTGTGTCCTTTCTTTCCCTACAGCCCCAGGGAACCCTGTCCTCATGTACCCAGGCCTGGCTGTGGGTTGGTACTCAGCCTTTCCCACCACCTGTCCTGTCTCATTCGGGTTCCTCACAGACCTCAGAGATTCTCAACTTGGACTCTCAACAGATCTCAGAATCAGCCTGACTTGGAACAGAATCCGACTTTGCTTCCTACTGCTCCCGGAGAGGGCATGCAGTTTCTGGTAAAATGGAAATTCCATTGAAGTCATTTCCCCCAGACTCAGTGCCAATGTCAGTGCCCATCACTTGACAAATGACCAGCACCATTGTGACACTGTATCCTTATCAACAGCCACCAGATCCCTTATCAACAGTCATTAGCTCCCTAAAATCACCCATCAGATTCCTGAGGCCTTCCTCTCAGTCATCCTTCAGCCACCCCTTCAGCAACCCCCTCAGCCACCCCCTCAGCCACCCCTCAGCCACCCATCCATATTACCTTCTTCTCCATGTCTTATAGAAAAGGCAAAACAAAGGTCTGTTGGGGACTGCAGACTCTTGGCTTCTCAGCAGCCATGCCCATAATCCACCCCTGTTCACACCTACTCCCTTTCACATGCACTCATGCATGCACGTGCACACATCCCCATAACCCTGAGTGCATACACACACTCATCTACATACATACACATAACACATTCTCTCCCTCTGTCCCACAGACGTGTCAGTCACCCTGTGCTAGAGATAAAAGTGAAAAACAACAACCAAATGTGAAATGCCCAGGACTGGAAAGGCCACTGTCAACCAGTGTTAGTGTCTAGGTAGTCTGGGCTGAGGGACATGTGACAGGGCCTGGAAGAAGCCTGGCTCTGTGGTGTGGACTGTAGGCCAGTCGTTCCCATCTTGGTCCTGCTCAGTGATGAGGGAATCTTCTAGCACCAAAATCACAGTCTCATGCCAGGCAGGTCACTCGAGGATCCCTGTCTGCCCTAGGGCTCCTCAAGGGACATGGTCATTCTGGGCCACAGAGAAGCAGCCTAGGGTGTGGAGATCCCCTGCCACTTACCCTGCAGTTGCTGAGTTCTTCAGCTGATAGGATGATGGAGCCACACTTCTTTCCTGGGACACCACTAAGAGAGAAAAGGCAAAAATGGCAAGCCAGACAGAGACAGACCAGCCTGATACTCCTGGGTTAGTTGCTCCCGTGCCCATCTCCTGCCAACCAGAGATCTTCCCCAAAGCCCCTGAAAGAGACAGCCCTCAGAAATGCCTGAGAATGCCTGGGCCGTGTGGCCTAGCGCTGCCCTAGTGCTGGGGCCAGGTCCTCAGCCTGGCCGGCCCGCCCCCTACTCCCAAGGCCCACCAGGGATGTCAGCCTCCACAATCAAGGTCTTACAATGGCAGCAGCACCCAGACTCACCCCGAAGCTTCCGGACCAGTGACTCTCAAACTTTCCATCGAAAGACCACTTCTGTGGGCAAAAGACCTTGTGGGCTAACCACCCTGTACCCTGCTGACCCCAGGGTCCCCAGATGCTCCAGCTCTGATCTGATTCATTAGGGAAGAGCAGTTGGGGGTGGGGTACAGTCTAGGAGGGTCCTCTTAGTTGCTCTTGCCTGCAGTTACCTCCCTTTGAATTCTCAACTGTGGTTTCCCAAGGGTCAAGTGATACTAACCAAGTTTCTCCTTCACGATGGGCCAGGCAGGAGAAGAAGGCACCATCACATGTCAGACCATGGGGCAGCTGTGACTGGGCTTCAAGGCTATACTTCTGTCCCTGCCCATAAATGAGTATGACAGTAGAATCTGTTTTCCTAATATGCAAGCAGACTGCAGGGAGCAGAGGAGGCTCTGGGTGTGTATGACATCCCATGTGGAGCCACTCTGCCCAGCACCAGCCTCCAGAGGGAGTGGCTCAAAGCAGAGGCAGGAAGGGAGGAAAGAGAGCCTCCTGGGGTTGAAGACATACAGGCCAGGCTTCTCCAAACTAGGTGAGCAGAAGAGGAGCCACACCTGTCTCCAGCAGGTGGCAGAGCTGCAGCTTGTCCCCTAGGCCTTGGGCAGCCAAGCTGAGGTCCCTGCAGCCCCTTCCCCACCTGTTGTCCTGATGAAGGCCAGGCAGAGAGTCCTCAGCACCAGCCTCCTCCACCCATGGCTCTCCATCTGTTCCCCTGCCTCAGAGTCCTCTATTTCTGATCTTTCTTTCCCTCTTCTCCAGCCTCAACCTGCTCCCACTGGCTTGGCCTTCCTTCCCCTTCCTACCTCTCCTTCTGGACTTTCTCCTTGCCCCACCCCCTACGTTTGCTCCCTCTCAGCTCAATGCTATTCATTCTCTTTATAAAGCAACAGTCACACTGCCCAGAGCTGTGAGAGACTCCTTCTATACATGGGGCTGGGGCTCCCTTACCCAACCCAAAAGGCCCACATCTTTAGGCCCTCCTTCAAGCAGAGGCACGAGAAAGAAGCCAGGGTGGGAATTCACCAGCCAGGAGAGAGGAGGCAAGGCTGTGGAGGGTCTGTGTGGGTGCCGTGTTGGTTGGTGTAGACCACATTTGTATGTGTCCAGCCCAAAGCACAATGTCAGGGTGGGGCCTGAGGAACAAAGATGGTCCTCCACAGCCGGTGTGGAAGGGGGAGAAGGGGGCTGACTTGGATTTGTTCTGTGGTGGGGAGGAGGCTGATATCCAACAGAGACACCATGGATGGGGAGACAAGATGCTGGATAAGAAAGGAAGAAAGAGGGAGATGGGAAAAATGGGGTGCAATGGGGAGAGAGAGGGAGACTGAGAGGGACCAGGCCTGCTGGCCTGGCACAGCTTAGACTCTGAATACCACCCTGCTCCCTGAAGTCCCAGGAGCCACCAGGGCTCAGCATGCTCCAGATCTGGCCGGGATAGAAGAAGAGCTGGCTATAACGATGGTGACTGGGACCCTACAAAGTAACCCGGGGTCTTTGCCCAAGGCTGAATTCACAGTGGCAGAATCAGGATCTGGGCCCAAAGTCAGGAGCTGTCTGTAGAGCTGGTTTAATGCCAGAGGACCGAAGGGACAGAGCTGTGTAGTGACCTACCCGTTAGACACAGCTGGCATGGGTTTGCCTGTTCGAGAGTTCAAACTGAATGCTCCTATCCTGTGGAAAGAGACGAGAGAGCCATGAGCTCCGGATCCTGGTCCACATGGACCAGAACACTTGATATGTGAATGCCTCAAGATTTCTGGTCTGAAAGTCACTAAAACAGAGCCAAAAGCCCAGGCTGGAAGGAGCTCTTTCCGGACCTTAGGGTGAAGCCCAAGGAAAATTAGGCTACCTCTGAAGTGGTCAAAGTGGGGTACCCAGACCAGCAGCCCCAACAACCCCTGGGAAGGTATTACAAACAAGTTCTCAGGCCTGCCCTGACCTATTGGGTCAGAAAACCTGAAGGTAGGGCCCAGCTTCTGCCCCAGGTGACCCTGACACATGCTACCAGTGGTGAATAGTGGGAGCACATCACCGGGCCTCAGTATCGAGGCTGTGAAATGGAGAGATTGCTGGAAAAGGCACATAAGGTCAAGAGTTCAACTGTAACAACCCTCCCCCAACTTTATATGGTGAAGGCCTAACCTCCAAGCCTTTACCTGTGACTGTATTTGGTGACAGGGTGTAAAGGAGGTGAATAAGGGGCTGGAGAGAAGTCTCAGTGGTTAAAAATGAGTACTACTAAGCTGGGCGTGGAGGCACACACCTTTAATCCCAGCACTCGGGAGGCTGAGGCAGGCAGACCTCTGTGAGTTCAAGGCCAGCCTGGTCTACATAATGAGTTCTAGACAGCTGGGGCTACAAGGAAACCCTGTCTCAAAAAAAGACTTAAAAAAAAATGAGAACTACTATTGCAGAGGACCCGAGTTCAGTTCCCAGCACACACATCAGGTATCTCATAACTGCCTGTAACTCTAGCTCTGGGGGATCCAATGTCTTCTGACCTCTAAGGGCATCTGCACACACATAGACATGCACAGCAACATAAATAAATATAAAAATGAATCTTTTTTTTTTTTTTTGGTCTTTTTGAAGCAGGGTCTCCCTGTAGCCCCAGCTGGCCTGGAACTCATTATGTAGACCAGGCTGGCCTTGAACTCACAAAGATCCTCCTGCCTCTGCCTCCCAAGTGCTGGGATTAAAGGCGTGTGCCACCACACCTGACCAGAAAATAAAAATGAATCTTTAGAAAATACTTTTAGCTGGGTGTGGTGGCACATGCCTTTAGTCCCAGCACTCAAGAGGCAGAGGCAGGAGTATCTTTGTGAGATTGAGGCCAGCCTGATCTATATAGGGAGTTCCAAGACAGCTGGGACTACAGGAAGACCCTGTATCAATAAATCAATAAATAATAAATAGGTGATTGAGGAAACGAGATCATACAAGTGGAGCCTGACTATTTGAACACACACAGAGGGGTGCGCCTGTAGAAGACACAGGAAGAAAAATTACACCCATCTCAAGCCAGAAAGTAGACTTGGCAAAAATGAGCCCCATCAGTACCTTCACCTTGGACTTCCAGCTTTCAGAACGTTGAGAAACCAAAGTTTTCATATTTAAGCCACTCTGTATGGTATTTACCTCAACAGTAACTAATAAATTAGTCAACTACTACAGCGGACAGGGTGTGGTGACACAAGGCCGCAATCCCAGCACTTGGAAGGCTGTGTCAGGAGGATCTCAAATTTGAGGTCTGCCTGGGCTACATAGTGAGACCCTGGGCCCTGTCTCAAAAACCCAAAGGAAGCTGGATGTGGTAGTACACACTTGTAGTCCCAGCACTCAAGAGGCTGAGGCAAAAGGATCTTGAGTTTGGGGCTACCCTGGGCTACATAGTGAGACACCCCTCCCCCCGCCTCAAAACAATAGCTCTCTCCACCCATCTCTGAACATAAAACAAAGCAGGCAACTCTTAGCAGTCTGGTAAATAAGCCGGCAGAGTATTTGCATATAACCCCCTCCACACACACACACACACACACACACACACACACACACACACATCCTCCTACATCCTTTATTATTTATTTATTGAAACAGGGTCTCACATAGCCCAGGCTAGCCTCCAATTTACCATGTAGCTGAGGATGGCCTTGGACTCCTGCTTTTCCTGCCTCTTCCTCTCTTGCTTTGGGCTACAGGTCTGCATCACCGTGCCTGGCACCTCCTACCTACTTTAAGTCACCTCTGGGTGGCTCATGAAACCAGGTACAATGTAGAAGCTATGCACAGGGTCAGTATACTGTATATATTCAGTATAGATGAAACTTCTTTTTTGAGTATTTCTGATCTTTAGTTAGTTGATACATGTCACTGACACGGAGGGCAGACAGAGGGCAGACTGTATAGGTTTCACTAGTGAAACACAGACCCTCACATCTGGCCCAGAATAGATGCCCAGTAAATAGGAGCTGCTGATGGGGTTTAGTCATCAAGCAGCTAAACTTAGACACACAAAGCATTGTGGGGGAGAGGGTTCACCTCCTCCACCGCGTTCTTAGTGCCTCCACATCTCAGAACTCGCTTGTCCTTGGGAGCTCAGCTTGCAGACCGTCTCCTGCAGGAAGGCTCCTTGCATCTCCCGTCCTAGGTGGACAGGTGATGGCACACAGGGAGCAGACCCAAGTGACTGATGGGCTTTTGCCCCAGGTGTGTGGGAACTGGGAGGTGCAGACACACTCCTGGTGTCTCCTCCGCTGCCATAAACCTCATCCTGGTAGAGCTGAGGTAGAGATGGGGTGAAAGAGGCTGCAGTAAAGATCAAAAGCCCCAGATAGGCCATGCTTAGCACATGCTTAACATGTAATGTGGAGCAGGTCCTGGGCCCCTGAGGTCACTCTAATGAGGAAGGACCAAGGCAGCCAAGGAATATACAACCCAATTTACTGATATCTTTGCTATAACCATGTCTTTTTAAAAAATATATATATTTCTATTTCATGTGTATGAGTGTTTTCCCTGCATGTAAGTGCACCCATGTGTGCAATGCCCAAGGAGGCCAGAAGGGGGCATTGGATCCAGCCCGAATAACCAAGTCTTAAGAACAGTATATCTACTTGAATAAAACTGGACATGGTGGTACACACTGGTAGTCCCAGCACTTGGGAAGTGGAGGCAGGAAGATCAGGAGTTTAAGGCCATCCTCAGCTAACTAGTAAGTTCAGCCTGAGTCTACACAGGACCCTGTCTCAGGAAAACAACAAAATACTGGGCTGTTAGCGAAGTGGAGTCCTCTTCAGTGGTGTAGCCACTGGTAAGCTCCCTGTGCTCCAGTAAATAACCCCACACCCCTGCTCCTCCTGCCAGTGGCCTAATTAAACTCAGCGGGTCACACAAACACACAACGGATGAAGGGAGGAAGAGGATTTGCTGGAAAGAAGGGATCCAGTGGGGGCCGGGGGTGAAGAGAGGGTAGTTAGGGGGAAACAGAATCAAAATACATTATATACATGTATGAAATTGTCAATAAAGAACATACACTGGGTATGGTGGTGCACGCCTTTAATCCCAGCACTTGGGAGGCAGAGGCAGGCAGATCTTTGTGAGTTCAAGGCCAGCCTGGTCTACATGGTCAGTTCCAGGCCAGTTGGGGCTACAGGGAGACACTATCGCAAAAAGACAAAAAAAAAATAAATAAATAAAAGATGCCCTCAAATTCCTTAAGCTACAGAGCTCCCCAACATGAGTTTCCCCCCATCTCAGTAAGTGATAGTTATTATTTTCTGGGAATGGAGATGGGACCTTTGTAGGACCAAGAGATCTTTTGGGGGACCCTGATGTTACCATATAGTTACTGAGGAGTCACAGGTACAACCTAGGAAGGGGACAGACTCACAGACACACGGACACACACACACACACACACACAGACACACACACACAGACACAGACACATACACACAGACATGCACACAGACACAGACACACACACAGACACACACATACACACACAGACACACACACAGACACAGACACACACAGACATACACACACAGACACACACACACAGACACAGACACATACACACAGACACGCACACAGACACACAGACACAGACACATACACACAGACACGCACACAGACACACAGACACAGACACACACACATAGACACACACAGACACACACACACACAGACACACACACACACAGACACGCACACAGACACACAGACACAGACACATACACACAGATCCAACCACTTGAAGGGGAGGTCTCTCATGTATGGCACTGTGTTCCTTGCTATACAGCTGCAGTTATACAGACATGTACACACACACACACACAGACACACACACAGACACGCACACAGACACACACACACACACACACACAGACACATACACAGAGACAGACACAGACACAAACACACAGATACACACACAGACACACACACAGACGTACACACACAGGCACATACACACACACACACACAGAAACACATACACACAGACACAGACACACACACACAGACACACAGAAACACAGACACACACACAGACATAGACACACAGACACACACACACAGATACACACACAGACACACACACACAGACAGACACACAGAAACACATACACACAGACACACACACACACACAGAAACACATACACAGACACACACACACAGACACACACACAGACACACAGACAGACACACAAACACAGACACACACAGACGGACAGACAGACAGACAAACACACTCAGAGTACAACTATGGACCCCAGCGTGGGACAGTAAGTTGACAGAAGGAAGTGAAGAGCAGATGTCTAGTCCAGTCTGAACCCTCTCTCTACGCGCTGCCCTGCTCTGTAGCCTGGATATTTGTCCCAGTCTGTGCTGCCCTTCCCTGGGCCCTGCCCCCTGGGACTCACTCAGGAACTGGGATAAGTCACCCTGGGCTCCACAGTAAGAATCCTAGAGACTCATTGTAAACTTGACTCAGAGTAAGCTCTCCTTAAGAGCCCCTGCAGTCCTATCGTGCAGAGTTTTGTAGTCAGGATGGGAGGGAGGACCTCACTGCACCCAGCTTTAGTCCGTTCCCAGCCCCCAGCTTGGGCCTACATCTGTGAATAAACTGAGGAATATGCCACGTGAATAGAGCCCAGGTTCAGATCCCAGCTTTCCCTGCTGCTGTCTATGTGGCCTTGAGCACATCACTTTTCCTCTCTGGTGGTTTTCAGTCTCTTTGCCCACACAAAGAGAGAGATGGGGCTGAGAATGAACTAGATAGTGTCTTGGGCCCCCCAGGAGTACGGACTCTAGAAATCCAGCCTGGGTTAGAAGTTCCAAGAGGGCAGGGCCTGTGGGATCCTCTCACTCTTAATGCCCTGGCTGGCTGATGCTCTGCCCCAAGCAGGCTCTGCGCAAGGCGGGCAGAAGATGGCCTATCACAGGGGAAGCCACACAGGGAGGCTGTATTCCTTCTATACTTACGTGAGAGGCTTTTCTAGGCGGCTCCCAGAGGACCCCACAATCTCTCCAAGGGTACAGAAGGCCTGGCCCAGGAAGTCCTATACATCCAGGGAACAGAAAAGACCAGCATCACCCACTGTGTTCACAGTCACTCTTCCTCCCTCATCACCCAGTCCCTGGACATGTGAAGGCTCTGAAATGACAACATACACTGTCACAATACAGTCTGAGCCCATCCAGAATGTAGCCATTTAAAAGACACCCTGGGCTCACTGGGTAGTCAGGACAGAACTCACATGTTTGGATAAATCTGGGCTCTTGGAGTCAACGTCGTATCTACAGAGAACACAGAAAAACGGTAAAGACAAGTGGGGAAGTCCTGCCCAGCTCTGCCTGGAGACAGGGCCCTCACCCTTCAAGCAGGCTCCAGCGCTGTAAGCATTACTCAGGGTAACAGCTGCAAAGCACAAGGAGAATCTCGCAGGGCTGAACTCTTTTTGTATTTAAAAAAAATTTTTTTTGGTCTTTTTGAGACAGGGTGTCCCTGCAGTCCCAGCTGTCCTATAACTCACTATATAGACCAGGCTGGCCCTGAACTCAGAGATCTGCCTGGCTCTGCCTCCCGAGTGCTGGGATTAAAGGCATGCACCACCACACCCGGCTAAAAAAATATTTTATTTATTATTTTTATTTTATGTGTGTGAGTGCATTGCCTATATGTATGTAAGTGTACCCATGTCGTGTAATGCCCGAAGAGATTAGAAGAGGGCGTCAGATCCCCTGGAACTGGAGTTTGGATGGTTTTTAGGTACCTTGTGGGTGTTGGGAATCGAACCCAGGTCCTCGAGCAGTCAGTGCTCTTAACCGCTGAGCCATGTCTCCAGCCCTGACTCCTGTCTTTATCTAGGTGTAGAGATTCTTTCTGTAGGAGCCTCTTCCTGTAGGATTTATGCATTTCCAGGCTGGCAAGATGGCTCAGTGGGTAAAGGCGCTTGCTGCCAAGGCCAATGATCTGAGTGTGATCCCTGAGACCCACACAGTGGGAGGAGAGAACTGACTCCTGCAAGTTGTCCTCTGACAACACATGTGTCATGGTGCTCTTACATGCATATCCATGCACATACACGGTAAATAAATAAATGTAAATAATAATAAAAAGACCTGTTCATTTCCTTCTGTATGCATTCTACTTCACTGAAAAACAAGAAATGTTTCAGGTGTGCTGGCGCACGCCTTTAATCCTAGTACTAGAGAGGCAGAGGCAGGCGAAACTCTGTGAGTTCGAGGCCAGCCTGGTCTTCAGAGTGAGTTGCAGGGCAGCCAAGGCTGCCTGTGAGACCCAATCTCAGGAAGCCAAATAGAATAAAATACAGGAAATGAAACAGGTGAGCTCCGCCCGGCTGGTCACAGGCAGCTGAGCCCCCTCCTCTTCCTCCTCTCCCTGTTGCCTCTTCCTAGGTTCAGCCTGACTGCTGGCAGCTCAGTAGCTCCTTGGCCTCGCTCTGCCCTTATGGCATCACCTCACCCCAGCCTACTCAGCCTTCCCTGGGCACTGAGCTGGTCACTCCTGAGGAAGGGAAGCGTCACCACTTCCACCTCAAGGAGCAGCAGGCAGACTAGTCGTGAAGGCTAGCTGGACCCCTCCCTGGAGACTGCTGACCTCAGCCTGCTCTTCCATAGCCTTGCTAGCAAACTTTCGTCCAGTGGCCTCCCCTGGATTCTAGGGTCAGATGTACCTGCTAGCGGCCAGGGCTCACCAGCCTACAGTCCTGAGCACCTCATTCTTCCAGACTGTCACTAGACAGCTTTTCTATTATGGACCACATCTATTCACATTCCTCAGTCTCCGTCCTTCACATGTCCCCCTGAGGTCACCACCTTCTCCTAAATTTTGTCTGACCTCCTTCAGCCCCTTTCTTTCTCACTCTGTCCCCTCTTCTCTGGAACATGATCCTTTCCAACAACCCCCCATACTCCTGGGAACTACACAAGTTCCCTGCCTGGTCACTAAGAGGAAACCCTTCCTGAAGGCCCTGACCTCCTGGGAACTACACAAGTTCCCTGCCTGGTCACTAAGAGGAAAGCCTTCCTGAAGGCCCTGACCCTCTTTTCAATGGACACACAGGCACTGGAGCTCCACTTGTCCCATAACCTCTGCAGAGGCGATACCAGGCACCTCCCCTCAGCCCCTATAACAACATCATCTGACATGGAGAGAGGTCAGCAGGTACCTTGGTTGTCAGGAAGAAAATGGTGCAAAGGTGGAGGCCAGAGTTGCCCCAACGTCTTTCCTCCACAGATGTTCCCCAGAGCCAGCCGGTGCCTTGTTCCACCCTCCTGCCCCACGCCCCCAGTTCCAGTATCAGCCCCACCTTCCACTTACAGGTCAAAACGGAGATTCTGTTTCTCTTCAAAGAAGTAGTCCACAATGAACTTGCGCACAAAGTCAGGGTTTAGTGTGTTGTCGATGACCTCAGTGCGCCCAAACTGCAAGAAGAGACACTGGTGGGGCAGAGATGGGACTGGGCTCCCATCCAGGGTGCTGGCTCCTGCCCTGGGGACTGAGCTCCCGAAGTCAGAGAAGTTCTCTTTCTCCAGACCCCTGCCCCCATCCCTCTCTCTCTCCAGACTGAGTTCCACAGCATCCCTTGAACTCTGGCTCCAATCTACACTCTACCCTCAGGGAATGGTATGCATGCCTGAGCCCTCAGCGTATGCTATGCCCTTTGCCTGGTCTCTCTTCTCTGCCAGGCACATCCTCCGATCCTCCAAGGCCCATTGGCACTGTCACCTCCTCTAGGAAGCCTTCTGGATTTCACCCCAAGAGTTTTACTTTTCCCAACTGCCATTGAGTATGTACAGACCCTAAGACCCTTGTTGTCTGACAAGTTCCACAATTAGGGGCATACTTTTCCTCTCTCTTTTTTTGACTTATTTATTTTCTTTATGTATATGAGCATTTTGCCTGTGTGTATGTAAGTAGCACATGTGTGCAATGCCTACAGAGGTCAGAAGATGGCGTTGGATCCCCTGGAACTGGAGTTATGGAGTTCCTAGCACCCACATGGAACCCCAGTCCTCTGGAAGAGCAGTCAATGCTTTTAACCACTGTGCCATCTCTCCAGTCCCTTTCTCTCTGTCTGTCTCTCTGCCTCTCCCTCTTTAGAGACAGAGTCTCATGTACCCCAGGCTGACCTCAAATTCTCTATGTAGCTGATGATCACCTTGAATTCCTGCTTCCACCTCCTATGTGTATTAGATGTTGTGATGGTTTGAATGAAAAATGTCCCCTATAAGCTCAAGTATTTGAACACTTGGTCAGTTGGTGGCACTGTTTGGGGAAGTCATGGAACCTTTAGGAGGTGTGGCCTTGCTGAAGGAAGCACATCACTGGGGGCAGGTTTATAACTTCATCCTGTTTCCAGTTTGCCCTGGCTTCCTGTTTGTGGTTGAACAGGTGAGCTGTTTCCACATCCTGCCATGGCCCCTGCTGTTTGCTGCCATGCCACCCCACCATGATGGACTCTCATCCCTCTGGAACCATTAGCCCAAATGAACTCTTTCTTCTATAAGTTGCCTTGGCTGTGGTATTTTATCACAGCAACAGAAAAGTAACTAGCACAGGTCTATATTTAGTGGATGCCCCAAGTGTAGACACAAGGGCAAAGACTCTGTGGTGGGATACACAGCCTTCTGAAGACCTACCTTCTTGTAACCCCCACCCTCGGCTGGTCCTAACAACACATATTTCTGTTTGCTGGTTTTTAAATTTTGTTTGTTTTGCTTTTTGAGACCTGGTCTCACTGTGTATCCCAGGCTGGCCTCAAATTCACCGTATAGCCAAGAATGGCCTTGAGCTCCTGATCCACCTGCCTCTGCCTCCTAAGCACAGGCGTGTGCCATGATGCCCAGCTACAACACACTTCTGATAAACAAAATGTTGCCTAAGTTCAGGATACACCTCACAAGCTGACACTATAACCATGGTGACTTCTGTTCTAGTGACCACTTCCCTATCTTGCTTATACCTGCTATGTGGTAACATTTAGAGCCTTCCAACCTTAGTCCAACCAATCCCAGCTTCAACACCCTCTCTCTAGCCCCGCCTCCTCTGCTTTCTCACCTCCTATTGGCTTTTCATATGGGCTGATTCCTGAGGCTGAAGACACTGGCTCCCCTTAAGTCCTGCTCCCTTCCCATCATCTCCCACACATCTCTAGAACCTTGAACGCCATACTTACACATTGCAAGAAAAATGACTCACAGGGTCTCTCTACTCAACCAGACTGTGAATACACACAAAGCCCCAGGACTCACTTCAAACATCCTGTTTCTGTGCAATGCCTTATGACTGACTTCCCTTCTTAGAGATGAGAAACCAGAAGCCCAGAGAAGTCAAGTTACTTGATAAGAGCCATACCGCTTGTAAAGCTTGCTGACCTGCAGGCACAAAGCTGGGCCTGGACCACGTGCTCTAGGTCACGTGGTACCACACGTATGGTGGGGAAGATGAGATCTGCAACAGGGCTGGTACCCAGGGTGGCTGAATGAGGAAATGAGTCACTGTATTTGAGCCTCAGCTGTTTTTTAAACAATATTTTATTACTGTTTTTATATTGTATGAGTGTACTGCCTGCATGTATGTATGTGCACCTGTGTCATGCAATGCCTGTGGACGTCAGAAGAGGGCGTCGGACCCCCTGGGACTGAAGTTAGGATGGTTGTTAGCTGCCATGTGGGTGCTGGGAATTGAACCTGGGTTCTCTGCAAGAGCAGTGAGTGCTCTTAACTGCTGAGCCATCTCTTCAGTCCCCTTGAACCTCAGCTGTATCACAAGCTGACTGTGAGATCTGATCAAAGCCTCTCAGAGCCAGTTTCCTCCTCTGACAATGGAGAATATTCTACTTCTCCCAAATATGTCCCAGTGTCATTCAATTCCATTTAATTATTATATATCATTAATTATTATACATTGCTTGTTTCTGCAGTTCTGGGCCTCAGCCGATCACTCTACCACACCCTACTACGGAGCCATTCCCAGGCCCAGGTTTTTAAGAACTTGTTTTAGGCCCGGCATAATGCTTGGTACTGAGCTACACAAACAGAACATGAATGTTGTACCTGAAGCGCCCTGGGGTGACTCATGAACAAACCTCGGACACAGCGACCAAGAGCCACAAAGGGCTGGATTGTAGCTCAGCCTGAGCACTGCCGAGATGGTGTTAGCACAGGCTTGTAACCCCAGCACTCAAGAAGTAGAGGCAGGAGGATCAGGAATCTGAGGCTATCTTCAGCTACATAGCAAGTTTGAGGTCAGCCTAAGCTACATAAAACAGTGTCTCAAAAGAAAGGAAGGGGAACAGAGTGGTGCTGTACAATTATGGGGACCCAAGTTCACATCCCAACTCCCACATAACAAGGTGGGCATCCAGCTCCAAAGGGGCAGAGGCAAGAGAATCACTTGCTGGCTTGCAGTCTAGCCATTTTATAATGGGAGTCACAGATTCAGGGAGAGACCCTGCCTCAAAGGAACAGGCAGAGAGTGGTGGAGGAGAAGACCTGATGCCCTCTTCTGGCCTGTGTGAGCATGGGTGCGCACACACACGCACAGAAACTTTTAACATTTCTATTTATTTATTTTTATTTTATGTGCATGAGTGTTTTGCCTGCATATATGTAAGTGCATCCATGCCATGCAATGTCCACGAAGGCCAGAGGAGGGTGTCAGATCCCTTGCAATTGGATTACCGGTGGTTGTTAGCATCCATGTGGGTGCTCCGACCAGCCAGTGTCCTTAACCACTGAGCCATCTCTCCAGTGCCCCCCCCCAACATTTTAAAAAGCTTTACACAAAGCTAGACAGTAGGACTCACTGAAAGGGACAAAACCAGGGTACCCAGTCCTGTGTTGCCCCTGCCACACTCTCTGATCTGCTGTGTAAACTGCAGTGACTCTTGTGCATAAACAAGTAAGCTTTGCACAGTACAGTGTGATCAGCTCCTACCCTGTACCAGTCAACACATCAAGTCTACCGTCAAGTTCATTTAAGAACGCCTGCATTCTGCGTCCTGTGTGTTGTCTGAGCTGTCTCGGCTGGCTGTGCCGTTGTAATGGGTCCCTCATTAACAAATAAGTTAAATGAATTTAGGTCCTGTATTCAATTTGTTTGTATGAGAGTCAGATTTTACCTTTAAAAAAATATCCTTTGGGGATGGAGAGCTGGCTCAGCGGTTAAGGGCACTGACTGCTCTTGCAGAGGACTCGGGTTCGATTCCCAGCACCCACATGGCGGCTATGAACTGTCCTTAACTCCAGCTCCAGGGAAATGGAAGCCCTCTTCTGACCTCTGTGGCATTGCACGACACGGGTGCACTCACATACATGCAGGCAATACACTTGTACACATAAAATAAAAAAAATAATATTTTTTTTAAAAAATCCTTTTGCCGGGCGTGGTGGCGCACGCCTTTAATCCCAGCACTCTGGAGGCAGAGGCAGGCGGATCTCTGTGAGTTCAAAGCCAGCCTGGTCTATATGGTGAGCTCCAGGACGGCTGGGCTACCGGGAGACCCTGTCTCAAAAAAGACCAAAAAATAAAAAAAAGCCTTTAACAGGTGCTTTTAAAAAAATAGCCACGCTCAGCCCAATTAAAGTCAAATCACAGTGGATGGGGCTCAAACAACTCCCATCCTGAGCTTCTCTGGGCGCTTCTAGGAAGCAGATGGAGTCTAGAGTCACTAATGAACGAGCACAGTGGGAAGAAGGGGGAAAACTAACACTTCCTAAGCCTCTACGGAGAGTTCTGTGGATCAAGTAGATCATTAAGCTATCTAATTTAATTCTTATAAAGATTCTGAGGGTTATTACCCATTTTACAAGCTCAGAAACAAATCGGTGAGGTTAAGTAATTTGCCCACAGTCACACAGTAAGGAACGCCAAAGCCTATTATATTTTTTCACTTCATCAGACTGCAGGGAGCCATCTGAATTGATGATAATCAGAGGACTAGGTTTATTTCCCAAGCATGCATAGACGGTCCCGCTGTGTACAAGTGATGGGGGGAGGAGGGGACTCCAGGTTCAGTAAGACTGGGCTCCTGTCTCACTGCTAAATTCCATAACAACCTCACTAAGACTGCCCCATCCCAGCAGAGGCTCTGAATTTTCTTTCCTAAACCTCCCACCTTCAAAGTCTTCAGACAAAAGGAAAATCTCTCCTAATGGCTTCCTTGCAGTCTCCCAGGTAAACACAGGTTTCAGAGAATTCTCTGGAAAGATCAGACTGCCTGACTGGAAAGATCAGTACCCTGACTGGCTCCTCCAACACCTCTGGCTGGAAGCATCTTTTTAGTGGGGCTGCCAAACACCCTTCTCTGGAGGCCTCCTCCCCCCAAGCCCAGACTCCACAGCCGGATGACAGCCCAGCCGACTGCTCTGAAAATGGCACTTGAAGCTTCTGCACAGAGGATTCCCTGGAGACTGCTCTC